TTTTTTTTTTTTTTTAAAGGGGGTCGACAAAAACAATCTACACCTGTGTTTTGTTTTTTGTTTTTGTTTTTTTGTTTCTATTTTACAGGTGGTAATTTTGGATTGTTAGAAGAAATGTTCACATTGTTTTTCTAGGTATAATATTGTTAATAATATTTTTCTTTTCTTTTTTAGGTTAAAATATTTCATATTTTATGTTTTATTATAATAACAACAACAACATAAAACAACATATAAAATATTTTAATATTGTTTTTTATTATAATTATTATATTATTTGTATTAAAATAAATTTATGTGATTTATGTTGTTTTAAAATATTTTGTTGAATTAAATATATATATATATATTTAATTTTTATAATAATATAATAATAAATAATATTAATATAATAATAATTTGTGTAATATTATACAAATTATTATATATTATATTAAATATACAATATATAATATATAATAATTAATATATATAATATTATATTGAAAATATAATATTACAAATATATATGTATAATAATATTAATATAATTAATATAATATAATTTTTAATAATATTTATTATATTTCTTGTTTCATAAAATAAGACAACTTAAAAAATTATAAGATTAATTATATATTTCTTAATTTTAAAAATATAACTGCTATATCGATATATGTCATAATTTATTAATAATTAAATATTTAAGATATTTTGTTGAATTAAATATATATATTTAATTTTTATAATAATATAATAATAAATAATATTAATATAATAATAATTTGTGTAATATAATACAAATTATTATATTAAATATATAATATTATATTATATATATAATGTTAAATTAAAAATATAATATTACAAATATATGTATAATAATATTAATATAATTAATATAATATAATTTTTAATAATATATATTACATGTCTTGTTTCATAAAATTAGACAAATTCAAAAATTATACGATTAATTACATATTTTTAAATTTTAAAAATACAATTGATATATCGATATATGTCATAATTTATTAATAATTAAATATTATAAAATAGTTAGTTGTGGATGTATAGATTGTACTCGACCTCGGATCCAGACGAGCTCTTTCAGCGAAACTCGCGCTGATATTACGCAAGAAAGCAGGTTCGATGAAATATCATGATCTTATTGCATTACTTATTTTTTTTTTCTTTTTTTATCTTTTTTTTTTTTTCTTCTCATTTTTTCTTTCCTTGAATCATTTCACATTTTGTTAAACCTTCGTAACATCTAACGTAGAAATCTTTTGAATTTTATTCAATTTTATTCAATGTTTTTTCTTTTTTTTTTTTTTTGGTTTTTGCATTTAATTTCAATTTCTATTTTGAGATACAAAATTGACGTATCGATCGATAGAATTGTTTTTTGTTTTTGTTTTAGATTAACATTGCAATGAACTTGCCCTTATAAATTTCTTTTTTCTTTTTTTTTATAATGACACCATAAATGTTACTGACATAGTTTGTACAAGCTAAGTTAATCATTTTTATTTCCACAATTGGTCAGTGTGTTAAATATGTGTATGTGTTTGTGTGTGTTTTATTTTCTAGTTGTTTGATGTTGTTTGAATCGTATTGAACGATTGATACCATAATCGGTGAAAAATAAATAAATAAATAAATAAATAGGATTAAAAGATATATATATATATATATACAAGACAGGGTGGTAGGAAGGTATAACAGTATCCTAGAGACAACTGGACCGGATCGAAAAATCACTACCAACGACCGATCGACCAACTTAAAGTGCATAAGTTAAAATTAAGAAAACCGGTTTACCTCGATATCGCGTGTCCTAGCTAAAATATATACATATATATATTTATATATATATATATTTAGAAATGTAGTTCATTCGTGATCTACATCCCTATATTTCTTATATATATATATAGAAGATACCTAATTTTCTTTTTCTTTTTTGAAACTAGATAGCAATTAGTATTCCAGTTATACTTTTTAATATTCAACAAGAAGATTACTATCAACGTGCATTTGGAACAACGTGTCGTTTATTTAACTTTTTCTTCCGTAAATACAAAACCACATTGTGTTTATGTCACGCAAAAATTCGAAAGTGGTAGATAAGATTGTATACTTGTATACTATTGTTAATAATATTATACACCTAGAAAATATGTTAATGTTTACACTAACAATCCAAATTAACTTCTGCAAAATTAACTTGTGCAGAATTGAAAAGGAAACAATAGAAAAACACAAGAACCGAGTGTAAGTTAAGTACAAAGAGATAAGAGTTTAAGTTAAAATATTTTATTATTTATAATTTAATCATAATTATAATAAAACAATATTAAAAAATTAATATTGTTAATTAAATTGTAAATTTAATTTACGATATTAATAAATTTAAATAATAAATTTAATATTATATTAAATATATTATATTATATTAAATATCGTATATTATTTATTTATTTATTATTATTATTATTATTATTATTATTATTATTATATTATTTATTATATTATATATTTATATATTATATTATTTATTTATTATATTACGTAATATTAGTTATTAAATATATATGTATATTAATAAATTCAACAAAATATTCTTAAAACCCCATAAACCAAATAAATTTATTTTAGTGCAAAATAATAATTATAACTAAGCAACATTAAAACTATTTCACATATATATATATAATATTATAACTATTATTAATATTTATTTTTATCCTGATATTTTATTGCACAAAATTACGAAAAACTATTTTAATTTATAAATATTAATATTTATCTATATATGAAATTGTAGAAAAAAGTCTTACGTTTAAAATATTATTAATTAAAATAATTATTAACAATTATATTATTAATTATTTTAAATATCATTCACATCTTTCAATTTTAATTAAAATAATCAACAAAATAATGTATATATATATCAAAATTATAAATGATATTATCAATATTATTCAAACGATTAAATTATACACAAAATGAGTCTTATTATAAACAAATGTAATAAATAATATATAAATTAAATGTTAACTTATGTTAGAAGAATATTATAAAATTGTTAAGCAAACGACCGACAAGGTATGAGAAGACTTTGAGAGTTGGCGCATACACCACACGGGACTTTCATTAGGTCGTGGGGACGAAGAAAAGGAGATGGAGAAGGGGTGTGGTGGAGAGGGGAGGGCTGCGGGGCCTCGGGGCCCCGGACACATTCGACGGTCGACCAGTGAAGGGAACGGATCGTCACTAAACGGGGATACAACTTCTACGTGTCGTGTTAAAAATTAAAATTCCATGAGCTTATAAAAAATGTCGTAGCAAAATTTTAATTTAAAAATTAATTAAACATTCCTATATATATATATATATAAATATATAAATAAATATAAATATAGTGTTTTGTTTAAGACATTTATTGAAATAAACAAAAAAAAAATTAAAACACACCCAATAAATTTTGAACAACCACCTGTTAGTTTTTGTAAGACATTTGTTGAGTCCCTGGAAAATTAAAAAAAAAAAAAAAACATCCTGCAAGTGAATAAATGAATTAAATTAAATTGAATAAAAGTATTTAAACAAAATACCCGCGCTTTCGTACGAATTAGAGCGTACAGGGTGGTAGTGGTGGTTTAGGTTGGTGTGTGTTACCACGATACGCTCGAGAAATAATAAAAGGGAAACGGTGAAGTTGTTGTTGTTGTTGTTGTTGATGAAGATGAAGATTTAATTACAAGTAAAGAGAAGGGAAAGATCATGAAAAAGGGTCTCATCGATCTAATCATTTTCTAATTTCGTTTAAAAGATACATTTCATCGTGACAGATGGTGAGAATATTAAACCAAAATAATAAATAATTAATTAATTATTTTTCTTCGAATTAATTAAATCTACGAATTACGAGATTAGAGAACATCTGTTCAAGTTGCAAAAAACAACAAAGAAAGAAACTATTATAAGAATACGGTGATTTCAATGCTTGAAAGGTGGTAAAAATAAATGATATTTTTGTATAAATAATTTCTCGTAAATTTGTGCAATAATAATACGAAAAGGTAAATAATAGTGGTGACATATTTAATTTAAAAAAAATAATAAAGTGCGTACAAGATAAAAATAAAAATAAAAATAATATAAAAAAATAAAGGATCGTAGAATAAATTATTTTAAAAAATTGTTAATTAATAAATTTATTTATATATTTATTAATAAATATTAATTGGTATTTATTATTATTCTTAAAGAAGAAACATTTTCTTAACGAATCCTTTCTTGGATACGTCACTGTATGTGTGTGTGTGTGTGTAAGTGTCTTTATTGGATGTGTATATGTGTGGATTGCTCAGAAACTTCTCGTGAAAGTTTTCCGTGCTACTACAACACAACATCGGTGTGATATATAACTACTATTACAAACCAACCCAAGTGTTTCAAAGGCAGCACATACTTAAAAAACACAAATAACTGGATAAATCGTGAATCCTGATTTGTTGGATTTGACATAAGTTGTTGAGGCAGGTGCCAGGGAAAATCGTCAATGCAGATCCTGCAAAATTATTGACGGTGGAGAGAATGATCTTGGCGTTCGTGATCCTTTTACCCCTTGTGGGAATAGTCACTGCTCAAGGCACGTATGTTTTTATTGTTTAACGTTATTTCTACTTTTTTTTTTTATATTATTTTTCTAGACTTTATACTAACATATGTATCATATATATGCATGTAAATATATACATGTGTATATGATATGTATATATGATGCATAAGATGTATAACTTGTTCAAGGGAAACAAATTTTAATTTGATGATCTCATTTTTAATCATTTTTTATCATTTTTAATACTTTTTGTTTTTTTAAATAAATAATATAGACGTATGATTTATTGTTTCTGTATTTTATAAGTAACATATTATATGTATTTATACAGTATTTACAGTATGTATAATTCGTTCAAAGGGAAACTAATTCAAATTTGATGATCTCATATTTATCATGTTAATTATTTTTGACACTTTTTTTCTAAATAAATAATTTATTATATATTCGTAAAAATGAACTTTGGATTTAAATTTGATTGTAGAAAGAGATAATGAATAATAATAATAATAATAATAATAATAATAATATGATTATTAGTATCAAAAATTTTGGTCTGTTTCATTCTTCTTCTATTTCTTCTTCTTTTTCTTTATTTTTTATTTCAATGAAACACCTTTTGGTGTATTATCATTAACAATCGATCTCGACAAAATGCAAATGAAAAAAGCAAGGGTGCGTGGATCCTGTTGTTCTTTCAATCCGTTCGTTCGATCGTATCTATTCGATAGTTTGCAATAACAAAAAAAAAATAAAACAAAATAATGAAAAGATAAATAGCACTATTTGATAGTTTGCAATAAACAAAAAAAAAGAAGAAATAAAATATAATGAAATGATAAATAGCAATAATATTCCATAGTTTGCAGAAAAAAAATAATGAAAAGAATAATCGCAACAAGTAGAAATAATTTTTGACAGACATATTTATTTTAAATTTGAAAAAATTATGATACCATTTACTATGACGAATATTTTATTCGTCCTGGTCGTCCCTGGCAAATGAAATGAAGAAAGGAAGTGTGCTGTATAGTAAACGAATAATAATAAAACGCACAGGTATATCTGCCACCTACTCCGTTCACGTCCTCGCTTGATTTTCTGGTGTCTCGAGGTCACCCGGTATATATCCGCTTATAAATAAAATTCTGATCACTCCTCCTCTCTCTCCTTTCTCTCTCTCCCTCTCTTTCTTTCTAATTTGTTTTTTTCTTTACTATTCTATCCCCGAAATAAAAATAATAATAATAATATCAAAAATTTAATATGAAGAAATAAATAAGAGATTTCTCATGAGTCAAGTGAGTGATTCTTTCTAAGAAAAATTTCGTATGAAATAAAAGTTCGATTATTTTCTTATTTTTATATTGACCTACTTCACGATAGGACAGAAGGACAGGAAATAAGGTTGAATGAAGGGTTGAACCCTTCGTTCGTACCGGTTTTTTCATCGAAACTTGAACCCAACGTATACTTTGGCTTATTCATAAATAATAAATAACTATATAAATATATAATTTAGTAAATAATAATTAGTAATATATTAATTATCATAAGTAATATAATATAGTATCATCTACTATAATATATAATCTAGTATATAATATAATAGTATAGTATTATATACTATAATATATAATCTTAATCTCTCAATGTATACTTTGACTTATTCATAAATAATAAATATATTAATATATACTATATTAATCTATAATTTAGTAATTAATAATAAGCAATATATTAATTATAGTAAGTAATAATATATATAATATAGTAAGTATTATATAATATAATATACTTAATCTCAATATATACGTTGACTTATTTTCTCATAAATAATAAATAATTAATATATACTATATCAATCTATAATTTAGTAATTAATAATATATATATAATATAGTATATATTATTTATAATAATAATACTATATACTACTATACTTATATATTACTATACTACTACTATAATTATATATATTATTATAAATAAGTAAGTTTAATATAGTATAGTATTATATATTATAATATATAATTTTAATCTCAATATATACGTTGACTTATTCTCATAAATAATAAATATATTAACATATACTATATTAATCTATAATTTACTATATTATTTATTTATTTTGATATTTTAATTAATTATAATATATTAATATTTATATATAATAATTAATATAATATTAATATTAATTATATATATGTGGGGGATTTGTGAAAAAAATTTGATCGCTGACCCGCGGGGACTCGAACCACGGATCTTTCGTTTACCGTGTTAATCGAACCCGATTATCTTCCGCTTTAACCAATTGAGCTATCCAGAGCTCTCTATAATTCATTAATTAATAATAAGTAATATATTAATTATAGTAAGTAATAATATATATAATATAGTATATATTATTTATAATAATACTACTATATACTACTATACTTATATATTACTATACTACGACTATAATTATATATATTATTATAAATAAGTAAGTATATTATATAGTATAGTATCATATACTATAATATATAATCTAGTATGTAATATAGTAATATATAATATAGTATAGTATCCACACATATACTATAATAAATAATCTTAATTTAGTACTAAAATATATAGTATAGTATCATATATTAAATATATAATTATATACTATACTATATTGAATTATATGTGTCCATAATTATGAAAGTTGTATAAATCAAAATTACTAAAACAAACTATAATAATTTACCAATTATTTCATTCACAACATTATTTCTAAACTAAATTAATTCAATATAATTTTCATCATATTTTCAAAAATAAATTGTTAAATAATATTTGTTATTTCAATATTATAATACAATTCATTTATAATGTTCAAATGTAATCCTTTCTTAAATCTAATCTCAAGACAAGAGATACATGAATTAGATTAGTTAGACCACTTTCATAATTTACATACATTTGTACATAATGTACATACATTTTTATTAATTGAATGATAATTAAATATTTTATTAATAACAATTTAGAAAATTGATCAAGTTTAATAGTTTAATCAATGTTTCTATTTAAATGTTTGTATGTAGGAGGTGTAATAACATATATCTATTTGAAATGCAAAGTTCCAAATATAGATGAACACAAAATCGTTGTGTGTTGTAGGTTGTAAAACTCGTAACAACCGGTAGTAAAACGTAAAACTCTTTTACATTTGGTTATACATACCTTGTTTGAGTCACGCAACGAGACGGTTCAATTCTTTAAAAGTAAAATCAAGAAAAAGAAAAAGAAGAAGAGGAAGAAGAAATAGAAAAAGAAGAATAAGAATACATAAATGTAATCTTTAAATCTTACATGAAATCTTGTTGTAATAAAAGTAAAAAAATATATATGATGTAATTGTTACATTTTAAGAAATCAAAACAATATAAAAAACGAAAGAAAAATAAAAGAATAATAAAATCAGAAGAAAAACAAAAAACAAGAATAATTTTCAAAATAAATTAATAATAATATTACATATGTGTGTGTTAATGATATATATATATTATTTATATTATATTATATATTAATTATTTTTTTATTTTTTTTTATAAAGATAAATAATATTATATAGTATATTAATTATTTTATATATATTAATAATTTTCTTCTTAATATAATAATAATAATATTTTCCAAAAAATAATTAACACAATTATATTATATATATTATATGTTATATTATATATTAATTATTTTATATATATTAATAATTTTCTTTTTAATATAATAATAATAATAATAATAATAATAATAATAATAATATTTTCCAAAAAATAATTAACACAATTTGTATAGAAACAACAACGTTTAAATTCATTAAATTCTTCTTTGTCTTTTTCTTCGTTTTTCTTCTTTTTTTTTAGAAGATCTTTATTGGATTGGTGAAATACAAAAAAGTACTCAACAAAAATTATTGATTCGTGAAAGTAACGAAATTGGCAATAATCCAATGCAAAAGACATTATTTACAATTCCACGATTTGTTTCCAACTTTCATCGAAAGTTATACGTACTGTAATCATTTTGAAAAAGGTCTCCCCTCACAGTGGCACGACTTCTAATCTGTGATCAAGTTTAACCATATTGGAGTATAGTATCAAGTATAATTTATATATATATATATATTCAGTATATAGTTTTGGTTTCCCATAGAATTACACAATGATCATTTATAATGGTAACTGCCCCTAGTACTTTCTACGTTTTCTAGAAAAGGTGGTTGCTTTTTAACATGCAAGCATACATGCAAGCATACATGCAAGCATACATGCAAACATACTTACATGCATAAGTGCATGCATGCATGAAACTTAATGTACTCTTATTTAATTAAATCATAATATGTATATATGTATATATATCATAGAGTGTATACATTTAAAATCATGTTGCTGTAAATAAACATTGATTTAAAAAAAATTAGGTCAATTTATATATACAGGAATAAATTGTAAATATTAATAATGCATACAATTTTATTCATACAATTTTATGCACATTAATATGAACTAATTCATATTATAATATTTACAAAATTTTAAATGATAATTGAATTGCATTTTGTTATAAGTTATAGTTTTACAATTCTTTCATTTATGATAATTAGGTACAAACTATTGCAATCATTCATATGTACTATATATATATATATAGGGTTTTCTTCTTTTAATTTCAAATAATATGATGAGAAATAATTCATAAATTTTATTGCTTGTAAACTATTTTTATAATTATGATCACAGATATGAATTTAAGGTCTTAAAATAAACTATAATTTTTCTTTTACAGTAATACTTGTAAATGTTTGTTTTAAAAAAATATATATTTATTATTATAATTTTCTAAAATTTATTTAATAATATAATATCTAAATAATTCTAAAGTATTATTAGGTATATTATTGAAAAAATAATTACAATTATATATATTACATATATATTAATCTAAATGAAATTACATAACCTTTAAATTTTGAAAATACAAAATATTCCAAT